CACTCAATGGTAACAGCTGTGAAAAGGTGAAGCGGCCCACCGCTCAGAATATTGCCTTCGCTTTTAAAGCAATTAACCCATGAACAGGAGGATACCTGGTGATATCAAAGGGATTAGGCCAGGCAGTGCATTATTAACATTTCCTTGAACTAATTCTAACTCTGACTAGCTGTCAGAAAGGACGCTACAGTCTTTAAAAAAACCAAAAAAAAGAGTTTGTGCCCCGCTTTTCCCCCCTTCCAAATGAAGCGCCGCTATTTCAGCCTAATATGTCCCTCCACTTAGAAGAAAATGCAAATGAGCCAAGCTCTTAATGTGCTTAAACCAGTCCGAGTCAATGCAATTTTAAGACGAGTACGAGAGAAATATATGATCAATTAACCAGGGATCAAGACAGATATTCTCCTGAATGGAAATTAATGCTCCAGTATTTGCCATTCTTCTTCAGCTACAAAAAAAAAAAAAAGCAACTTGGTGACAATTTGTTCCTTATGCATAGTTACTTTTGAAATTAGGAAGCGCCTCATCTTATTCTCTATGGCAATAATCTGAAAGACCCTTTAAGCTGGAAAATCCAAATGTCCCTTAAGCAGGAGACTGCATTCTTTAAGGTACGGCATTTGATTCTCCACTGAATGGACCTTCAGCAGAAGCAGAGGAATAGCTGGCAGACTGCACAGAATCAAGTGTTCGGTTTCCAAAAGTTTAACCAAACTAATTCTCAGCAGCAACATAATGCTTACAAACATAGAGTCCTGAAGAACAGGAAAAAACAAGACAAAAACCACAAAACAATCTGCCAAGAGATAACCATCTAGAACTGAAATTGACCTTTCAGTTTCTTTTGTAAGCAGGCATAGTTTCCAGATACCTTTAATGACTGTTGACATTCACGTATTCTAGGTCACCTGCTTGACAGGAAAAGATCTGGTCTCTCACTAGTACAATCGTCCCGGTGCTTGAAAGCTGCTCATGTAATGGCACTTTTTAGGGTGGGGGGGAAGTATTTGATCGACTGCTTATTTAGTGCTCAAGGCTTTAAATCTGATGGTCTTTAAAATGAGCTTGGAATTTGTATTAAAAAAACAAACAACAACATAGGTTTGTTTTGGTTTTTTTGGCTGTTGGATTTTTTTTTTTCCAGTTTACACAATGCCTGACAAAACTGCTGAGTGAATTCTATCCTTCCATTTGGTCTGTAATTGTCTGAAAAGGCTCTCCTGACTCCCATGTGGAGGGCATACTTCTTGGGCTGTAACTACCACAAGAAATGATACTAGCTATGTCCTCTTTTGAGATCACAGGCAATTTAAATTTTCCCAGAGGCACATCATTTTTATGCGATGCTGTCAGTGTAGGCCACTCTGTTTCAGTGGCACCAGAACACATGAAATGGGAACAGGAAGACATTTAATGGCAGTGGCTTCCTATATTTAGTTAGTTTGTTTTTTTCTGTATTTAGTATTTAAGACCTATTTAGATGCTCCTTAGGAAATAATGGTACACTTCAAATAGTGTTAAATGGTGCCCAGAATGGTGATCCAGGCTACCTTGATTTTTTGCAAATCAGTTTTGTGGATTTCAAATAGGACATCATCATACTTTAAATATCATCCTAGGATGAAATTTTAAGGAGTCCAAAGGAGAAAATCCTTGTTTCTAGAAGTCACTGCCTCTGTGATGTACACAGTCCTAACTACACAGATGTACACATGAATAAAATGAATACTATTTCATATAAGTGAAATCAGATGAAATGCCCTAAAATATTGCTTAAGGAGCGCTGGTGGGGCAGTGGTGAACTACTGGACCACACGTGGAAAGGTGGGTGGAAAGGTGGGCGGTTCAAACCTGCCGGCTGCTCTGTGGAGAAAGACATGGCAGTCTGCTTCCGGACGGTTTCTGCTGGAAACTATGGGGCAGATCGACTCTGTCTATTGTTGCTATGAGTTAAAATCAACTGTGTTGCGATGGGTTTGGGAAGGGGAATATAATGTTTAAATGCTTATAAAGGCTTAAAAAAACAAAGACTCCCCGGAAGGGGAAAACTCATCAACGACTCCCTGGAGAAACAACGGTCACACTCGTACTACTTTAACTTCAATAGACTACCACAGGCAGAGTGCTTTCTGGGCGCTGCTTTCTCCTCGCATGCTTTCCGCATCGAGCAAAACACATCTAGATGCAGTCTTGGGAACCATCAGGAAAGACTGACCCAAAAGGCAGTGTTAATGACATCGTACAGCTTTTAGAAGCAAGGGAAAAGATGCACGAAAAGCAAAAATTACACAGTAATTGGAAACAACAAATAAATTGTTCTTTCAATCTAAGTCATGTTTACTGTGGGGGGGGGGAGAAAAAAAAACCAACAGAGCTTTTTATATCAACACATTTAAACAGAAATTTGCTTTTGAAATACAATCTTTGTTTAAAAGGTACAGAAGGTCTTTATGTCAACCCCAAGAGCTAAATATAGTGAATGCTATGTGAACAATTACCTGAAAAAAAAACTTAAATCTGTTAAAAGAATTAATTTACCGCACACCAGTCAGCACTAATCCTACGTGTACTGTAATGTTCTTTTAAGTGACTGGGGGGTGGGGTGGAGAGTGGAGAGGGGAGAGAATAAAACTGTTTCCTGGACCAACACCCTTCAATACTCAAGAACGACATGGAATTATGATTTTGTCTGTAAACGAATAAAGTAGTGGGATGTGCCCTAAACAAATGCTGGTAAAGGAGTGGGCCTGTAAAGGAGTACATTAACAGTACAAGGGAGCTGGGAAGACGCGGTCACTGTAATGGCCCAGCAGAACTGTGTCCTGCTGCTGGGTTTACGTTCACAGAAGAAAGGTTTTAAAGGTTAAGTTCAGGTCATACAACAAATGAAATTGTAACAAGCCAGCTGACATTGTATAATGTCTTCTTCCGCTCAATCAATAGGCTACTGTTAGTCCTATTACCATAGAGATGGCTTGCTCCTTTCTGAAGGGTGTCTATTGTTTGACAAAACAGATTTGCCACTTGAACTAGGTTGTTCCCAAAGGACATGTACCTTGTCAATTATTTGTATTCAAAATAATGAAGTATTTTCACATTCAAATGTATGTAAGAGATGATATCGTTAGATTCCTTTTCTGGAAAGGAAAAAAAAAGCACAAATTTTTACTTCCAAAGTACTCTAATACTAAAGCCACTCAAATATCCAGTTTTATCAAATTAAGAGTTCCGATTAAAGCACAACTCAGTAAGAAAACACACACATATAAATATATATAAATATACATATATATCATTAAAACTATCTTAAAAGAAAAGGGTTGCAGGCTAGGATGTTAATCTAAAATCCATTATCTACTATAAAAATTCAAGTAGAAATGTTATCAGCACTTAATATGTTGAAAAACATGAAAAGGTTTTAGAAGACGAAACGCTATTTATATGTACACTAGCTACTTATATGTACTGGATTAACATTAAAATATATTTTATATAAAGGATCCTCTAAAATATAGTTATGGACATTAAGTATTTATCAAAATATTAGTTTTCTTAATATGTCTCTATTCTTAAAATATCTTAGGAAAATTCATAACACATCCATTAAATACAGAACAGGAAAGTTCTAAATTTCAGCCTAGATGTTTTAAAATAAAATTAGATCAGTTTTTTCCTAGAGGAGATACTGACAGAATTTTAATTATGAAAGATTCAGAAAGAAGAACTCGAACAAAGGTTATTCAAACCACTTTGCTAAAAAGAAAGCATTCATAAAAAAAATAAAATAAAAAAAGCATTCATAACATTAATCAGTACAGAAAGAGATCTTGTTTTAAATAGCTCATGCTTAATTAAAGGTTTAGCCATCACGCAGAATCGGTAGGACTGAAATAGAAATAAATTAAATAATATAGACAAACATTTGGCAAATTATTAAAACTTAGAATATTAGAATCTGAAAGCTTTCAACAAAGAGGTTTAAAAGCAAATTTTAGAATCAAAATAATGTCAGCATTTATCATTCCATGTATAATACAAGGAAATTTAGAAACAATTTAGCTAAAGGACAGTGCTATGCCTCTAACAATAATAAAAATATTAGTCTCCAAATATTTAATTTGAAATTACGCCTGTACAAATTGTAATATATTTACAAGCAAAACTATTTGTTTTTATAATATAATCAGGAACAGTGTTTTTAAGAAGTACCTTCGTTTTTCCTCTGTACCAAAACAGAATTTGCATTTTTCACTATAATCCTTTTAGGCACATATTCAACTAAGTTATGAATGTGGGAAACAGAGAAAGGTCAAAGACAAATGAGTTTACCAACAACCTAAACTAAGGACTGAGTTTTAAAAAGCATCCTGAAAAAAACTTCCATCCATGAAGTGTGAGGGCTCTAATTTGCCCACCTTCCTTAGAACCATAATGGAACAAAATGAAACATTACTAAAGGCACATCCCAAATTGATTTCCTCAGCTAATAGTTTCATATATATATATATATATATCTGTCAATGTTCAGACTACAAATATAATTAGGTATTACCACCAGACCTGATAGGCACCTGTCCATCAACAATACTGTGATTAATTAAATGATATCTCCCATTTACCCAAAAGATGAACTTCATATTGTTAAACTGAACTGGCCTATCTGCATCTTCATAAAATGACAACCCTCATTAGTTCTGCCTACCCAGAGAATTGTGATAATGAGCTGGTGACACCTCCACTCCATGACGTGAAGCGGAACCAACTGCATGCAATCATTGGTGAGGGGAAACGCAGATGAACAAGATGCATAAGAAATCACGGCAAACTTGAGAACGTGAAATCCTAGGAGGTAGCCCAAACCCAGCAACAACTGTATGAGTATCGGTAGCCTATTTTGTAATCTGGGGGTGGGGGTGGGAATTAAATTTAACTTCCTTGGGCCAGAAGAACACTGCATCTCCAATTAGGCAAGATTAATTTGGGGTGACCCATAACTTTACCTGAAAACGGTGAAAAAGAGGAAGGCTGCAGCGACTGCTCCGAACAGGCCACAGAGAAGATTGACCCTGTAGGCAACGGAGCCAGAAGGAAACAGGATAATGGCCAGTTTTGCCATCAGTGTGAACAAAGGGTAGCCAGGAGGATGGGCAACCTTCGGAAAAATGAGCAAGAGTTAGAAAATTTTCATCTGGGGAAGGAGAAGTTACACTGGCTTTATTTGAAAAGTAACTGCTCCTCAGACAAGTCTAACAATTAAGCACCAATGGCTGAATGTTTGAATAGTGGTTTCCCATTGTAATCCCCTTGTGCCAATACAAACAAATATTTTCTTTAGTAGATTTGGCAGCTTCTATCACATGGTGCATTACCTAGAGAAAGGATGACATAGTTCATTGTCAGGTCGTACGCCATTCGTTCTCTGGGCTCACAGTACATTAGGGTCATTGAAAAGGCTGTGGGGAGGGAAAGCAGGTTCTGAAACATCCTCTTCACTGGAAAGTTAAAAGACCACACTGCTATCGGATTACCATAGCTCACAATCCTAAGGTCTTGCCTAAGGGGATCACACACCATAATAAAGTTTATTAAATAATAAACTTATTGAAAGCGTTAACCCGATTTACTTTATTCTCCACAGCTTATACAAAATTTGGGGTGATAATAAGCCAGCTACTGTATATATAGTAGAAAGCTTTGCTTTATAATTTCGTTTAATTGGATTTAGAACTTAGGGTAAATTGTCACATACTGTACTTATAAGTTAGTAAAAACTGGGGTTTGAAAAATAAATTAATCTACTTTACTCCATGCTTAATTAAACTTTCTTAATTCCTAAAACTGTTAATGAGAGCATTGACTAAACAATAAAACGAATACTTACTCCGAGCTCAGAGGCGGCGGTGATCAGTTCCCCTGTGAAAAAATAATGTAAAACCAATAATTACTGTTAGAAAATGACACTCCTCCAAAGTTTTCAAAATCCAAATGCTTGCATTGGGGTTTTGCATTAATTGGACTGGAAAAAACTGTAACTCTATAGAGATTTAACAGCATGGAACAGTGAAAGGACATGCTCTCCCGTAGATCTTACTGAACGAACTATCTTTGATAGTTCCTCACTGGCCGATGGAAATAAGGGCAAATTTTCGTTCAAGAAATGCTCATTCTCCATCCTGGGAGAGTGGCATTCCCTTGAAAATCTATAGTTACTGCTTCAAAGTATAGAACATCCCTCAAGGATTCCATTTTAAGCTAAGGAAAGGGTGCAGGCACGTACGTGTACGTACTCAGAGTAAGATGTGCCACACTAGTGACCTTGGCATTGCATAGCTTCTCCATATTAACTAGGCTGGACATAGCGGAATACATTCCAGGTTGTTTTGTTATGCTCTGCCATAACACAGTTTTCCTTTTCCAAATCAATAAACCATTATATTATTACACAGCCCTCCTTCTTAGTTGCTCATCAACATTAGACACTCACTCACTGTCCATGTTAGGCCCCGTTTGAAGTATCCAGGGCCCAGCCATTGTTTCTGGGACACTGTCATGTGCACGCGCCGTAGGAAATCAATCAATATTAACTGACAAATGATTTATGAAAGCTACTATTTGGAAAAGAAATGTGCTAACGCTCATTTTCTTCCTTTCAACAGAGAGCAATACTCTTCAATTCTACCGGCCCAAACATAGCTTAGACCTCCCCCTTCTTACGACTTAGGCTACAGCAGTAAACTAGATTGATATTTGGCCTGCATTCATTTTCATATCAAAATCGCTTATTACATACCTTGACACCCTATCTCCACCCCAGACCCTCTCAGCCCCCACCCCACAAAGGAAAAACAAAACACTTTTTAAAGGTAGTTATTTTTTTCCCTAGGCTAATAGTTCCTGATGTCTGTCCTCCATTTGATGAAGGAGGTCCCCGGTGCCATCCAGGGGGGTAGGCCCCCTCCTCTCAAATCTGAGGACCCACTCCCTGCTCTGCGGGGCGTTGCCCCTCTTTTGCAGGTTTTCTCTCTGGAATAGTTTCCTCTGCACTCTTGCCTGTCCTTCAAGGGCTAGTTCAATTGCCATTTGCTCGGTGACACTTTTCCTCACCCCACCAGCTCCCACCTCGCCTTCCTCGGCCCGCACGCAGCATTCATCACCTCGTGCGCCTAATCCAGAATCTGGCTCAAGCATTGATTCAGACTGCTGTACGTGCGGGCTAATTAGTTTCTTCCCTCTCTCACCGCCCCCTTCCTCCCCTGGCCGCACATAAAGAACCAATTCAAGCCCTGCACACACGAGGACTTCGGGGAAGGTCGTGGGCAGCTTGGAGGAGCAACATCACAGCAGTTCCCAGGCCCTCTTGCAGTGCGCGGTGGACAAAAACCAGCCCATTGTCAGCCGTCCCATTGCGACCCAGAGGTGCAGAACTGCGAGTGCCCCCGGTGTTCGCGTTGCTGTGTGGACTCAGCTCCAGCTAGACCGCCTCACAGAGCCCAACTGCTGCGTGGCGTCCCCCAGGCTGCGATTCACCCCGGAGCAGATCTCCAGGCCTTTGCTCCTATGAAACCACGGGTGGGTTTGAGCCACCCGCCTGCCTGGTTAGCTGCCAAGCACTTAAAGCGTTGTGTCACTAGTGCACCTAGAAAATCCTTCAGGGTACACAATGACAGATATTGCTCATTAAGGTCAAGTGCCTAAGAAGATATATTTTAATCTTTTACGTATATTCTGGAGAACTCATGTTTCTGAAGTCAAGAAAACATATGGGCTAAAGGTATTATTTATATGTTATTTACTTTTAACACTAGGTTTCCATGCATCATTTTGACGCATTTTGATTTCCTCAAAAAAACCCTGCAGAAACCATTTACATTTACCTCCTAGCATTTATATTGACTTTTAGCCATCGGACGAAACAAATATATATCCAGATTCATTTTCTTTAAGCCTTCTAATCTCAAATCCTCGGCGTGGCATACCTATCTCTACGGATATTCGTTAGTTTGATGTGAATGTAAACTATTAATCCCAGGAGATTGGTTTCTTTCAGGAGCATTACCTCACTAATAAATAGAAACGTATGTCAATAAGTTCTTAGAAAGTAACACCAAATATAAAAACACACAATGCCATGAGATTGTCATATGGACCCACCCTTAAGATACATTGAACTCAATATCTCAAATGTATGTTATATATATGTATATATTTTTTAAGATTTTATTAGGGGCTCTTACAGCTCTTATAACAATCCATACATCAATTATATCAAGCATATTTGTACAGATGTTGCCATCATTCTTTTCTAAACATTTACTTTCTATTTGAGCCCTTGGTATCAGCTCTTTTATATAGTATCACATTTTCATTTATATGTTGATAGCATAATATTTTAAATTACTGTATATACTCGAATATAAGCTGACCCAAATATCAGCCGAGGCACCTAATTTTACCACAAAACTGGATTAAAAATGTGCTGAAAAACTTGACTTATATTTGAGTATATACTAAGGTGACCAGATTTTAACATTGGTAAAGCGGGACACCATTGATAAAACTCATATCCTGGCGAAATAGCCACATGGCAGCCAAAAACCTTATACCCTAGCTTGTAACACATTCTTTCAAAAAATCAGGACTTTTTTAAAACGCCGCAAGACATGGGAAAAATTGTTAAAAATCAGAACTGTCCGGCCCAAATTGGGACGTCTGGTCACCTTCGTATATATGGCAAGTTGTTTTTTTAAAGACCATGTGTGGTTTCGTTCATGTGTCCATTTGATGCATGCCCGTAGATGGGCAATATGTTTGTAAACCTAGTGTTAAAAGGTATCATTTGTTATTTTTAGAAGAAATTCTAAATGTCTGAAAAATGTTTAAAAGGGTGTTGATTTCTAACTACTGTAAAAGGTGAGTGTGCTCTTAGCAGTTTTAGCTCAAACAAGAAAAACAAACTCACTGCCAAGGAGGGAAGTTCAGCTCTAGAGACCCTCTAGGGCAGGGGAGACCTGCCCGGTGAGTTCCTGAGCCATCAGTCTTTGTGGGAGCAGAAAGGAGGAGGAGCTGGTGTATTTGGGTGGTTAGCAGCCCAAGACATAAGCCACTAAGCCACCAGGGCTCCTTAGCTTTAGCCCAGGATGGGAGGGTGGTTTTAAAACTCACTTCCACTAACACAAGTCTCACTCACTGGGACCCTGTAAGACAGAGAACTGCCCTATAGTTGATATAGCCATAAACCTTACTGGAAACAGACTGTGTTTTGATCAACTGACCTTGGTGGCACCCCAGAGAAACTTGCTCGGTTAACCTCTACTGTGGCAGGGTGGTTCTGCGGTGGGCCACACCTTTCTTGTGAGGAACGGCTATCTTTGGCTAGCAGCTGGGGTTCAAGTTGCTGTGCCACCAGGGCCCTCCCTTCCGGACTGGTCCAGAGCTGACGTAATGTCTTTGGTCTCAAGGCAAGCTCTTATCTTTCTACAGTGCTCTGAAGCACACCTGTTGCTGTGGAGTTGGTTCTGACTTTGCAGCAAATCCGTTAAGATAGGGTTGCCCCGGGTCTCCAAGGCTGTAAGCTTTAAGGAAGTAAGAGATTGTCACGTCTTCCTCCTGCCAAGCAAGTGGCTGAAGGATTCAAGCCACTAACTTTCTGGTAGTAAGGTGCTTTAACTGTGGTGCCACAAGGTCCCCATGCTATGAAGTACATGTACATTATCAATTCCAGTGACTATCCATGATCCTCTATTTACTGGAGCCCAGGTGGTGCTAGTGGGTTGAGTGCTAGACTGCTAACCACAAGGTTGGCAGTTAAAACTCAACATCTGCTTAAAGGAATAAATAAGACTGCTCCTATAGAGATTTACAGCCCTGAAAACCATCTAGTTTTTATGAATTGGAATCTACTCGACAGCAGTTGGTTTGTGTTTGTGGCTTTTGGTTTTTTAATTATTGAGACATATACTTAACATTGAGACACTGAATACATGATACTAACATTAATATACCATTTTCTCTAGCTTCTTTCCACTCAAAAAGTCAACATGCTGTTGGTCTTTTCTGGAGTTGTTAGGAAAGAGAGAAGTCTAGAATGTAACGTTCTCCCTTCATCAACTATTACAAAATGTTCTGCTACTCAAAGCCTGTAAACGTATCCTTGATAAAGAGCTGATGGGAAATGCTGCTGTCGGCATTTATAAAGGGTAATGATGATAAAAGAGGAAATGAGCAGCAGTTACTCTCACTGGGCCTCTGGGTTTCTGCCTTTCCCAACCCTTCACCCCAAGGTCTCCTCAGAGTTCTCGATCTGCATCCCAAGTACCTGCTTGCTTTTTCAAAGTGAGGATTCCTTGACCACCCAACCCAAACCTACCCAAACCAATGAGCCCCTCAGCTTCCAAGACAGCTCTGAAGATGAAGTACAAGCAAGCTTGAGAACCACTGCTTTGTGGCAAGTTGTCAACAGAAGCTTAGCAGCTAAACAGGAGCATCGGTTCTCTTTATGTTATACATTGTCTTTTAACTACCCATTAACTACTGGACTCTGGCTCATAGTGACTTGAAACAGGGTTCCCCAGTCTGTAAATCTTTGCAGGAGTAGTCAGCCTCATCTTTCTCATCTGAGCAGCGGGGTGGGTTAGCAGCCCAATGCCTAATCCACTGTGTCACCGGGGCTCCTTCTCACTGCTAAGACAACCATCTTCAGGCTGTACAAACAACTCTGTAAGTCATCCCGAGCCTCGCTTCTTTTTACACATGGAATACATGTAGTGCAAAAATAAGTTTACCAAGGCCACACAATGTGATGGATTTAAAGAGAACTTAAGACTTATAAGGAAGAAAAAGAATGCATGCTTTTATACTGATTTTGTAATGGGTTCTGTTTATTGATAGAAAATATTTCCATAAACACAAACATTCAAGGAGTACATTCAAGTATTATGCAGACATACAAAAAATTTACAATGATATGCCTATGCAGATTTTCCATGCTACCATATACTTAAAAGCAATTTATCATTTTCAAAAAATGAAAAATATTAGAAGTAACCACTGATTCCGTTTCAAACTGAAGAAATTAGAACACCTAAAAAGTTTGGAAACTCAAGGTAAGGATGAAACTTTATTGTGTGTGTGTGGGTAAATACAGTATTACCAGAGGCAAAGAAGCAATCTAAGACTTTAGATGAACTTCAAAGATCACCATGTATGTATGTGATGTCAAATTTAACAAAACACTTCATGAAATTCTTTGACAAACCAAACTCAAACTCGCTACCATCAACTCAATGCCAACTCATGGTGACCCTACAGGACAGGGTGGGCCTGGCTCAGTGATCTTTCACGACCGTAAGAGTAGAAAGCTCTGTCTTTCTCCTGAGGAGCAGCTGGTGGTTTCGAAGTGCTGACCTTGTGGTTTGCAGCCCACCGTATAACCACTATGCCACATTAGAGGTTAAAAAGATCAAGTTTCTCTGGGGGGCCATCAAGGACAATTGACAAACACAGTCCACAAAGCCAATGCTCTACATTCGGTGAGCAGCACCTGGGGTCTTAAAAGTGACTGGCCATGTACTGGGCAACTAACTACTGCCTTCTCCCTGTCGGGAACAAAGATTGATGTAAATCAGAGATGCAAGGAAACCAGTGGCCCAAAGGATCAGCAGACTGCACCCTAGGTTCCCTAACCTATTTGTCCTTCCGGCCCCTTTCAGAGGAGAAAACTACTCAGACCACAATCCAGGAGAGTGTAAGCATCTGCTTTTGCAGCCCTCTTGGATCATTCCAGGGCCCCCAGGAGGGAACACTGGGTTGGAACCTTGAAAAACTAGTCTGAACCTGAACCCTAGTCTCTACAACCAGAACAACTAGATGGTACCCGGCTTTAATGGCTAACCACTGTAAAAGGTTTTATAGTAGGCAGTCCAGGGTAGAGGAGCAGGAAAATGTGGAACGCAACTCAAAACAGTAAGAAAGACCAGGCTTACTGATCCAATAGGCTACTACCCAAGACTACTGCAGTCTTTAGACACCCTTAAAACCTGGGACAGAGCTCACCCGAAGCCAACTTTCAGCTAAATCATATGTGGGCCTATAGGAGGAACAATAACCCTAAGGAGTTAAGAATTCCTTAAGACAAGCAGCCACAGGAGATCAAGAGGGCACATCCCAAAGGGACAAAGCTCAGAAGGCAGGAGGGGCAGAAGAGGAGGAGGAATGGAACCAGCAACCCCAGGGAAGAAGGGCCCCAGTGCTATTCCACTGCAGGGACTGCCATCGGAGTCTCAAAACAAAATGTGAACTGCTAAAAGGAAGACCAACTGGCGCTGAAAGCTTCCACCCAAACCACAATCAGAAGGTCTTCTTCAGAACGAATGGTTTAAAGTTAATCTGTGTGTGTCCCGTCCCCACCCCCACCCCCCACCCCCGCCGCCCCCGAAGTGCTGGACTTATTAGCTGGATGACTTTGTGCATAGTGTAGCGTCTACTCCTCTTTCAAAGGTACTAAGGTACCTGCTTTGTATGGTTGCTGGGAGGATTAAATAAGGCAATCCATATAAAGCACCTGAAACAGTGCCTGGCACATTGCAAGTATCCAATAAGTGGCATTGTGGTTATGCACTCCTATGCTGCTTACCGAAGGTCAGCAGTTCAAAACCACAGCTGCCGCTATGTGGGAGAAAGGTGAGGCTGTTTACTCCCTCAGAGTTAGTCCCAGAAATCCACGGGGCCGTTGGACCCTGTCCCATAAGGTCACTAGGAGTCAGGATGGGCTCAGTGTCCGTGAGTGTGGGTTATTTTGGTTTGCTATGGCTATTCCTCACCTCACTGTCAAATTTCTGGCCCAAGCATTCAAAGAAAAGTGACCGTCCATCCTTTTGTGAAAGATACAGTGCTACCTAATCTCTGAGTACCATGAGCTTTACAACTAGAAAGTTATTTCTATTGTTTAATATAAACCTCCGCAAACACCATAATTCAAAGGCAGACTTTCTTTGGTCTTCCTTATTCCCTGTTCATCTTTCGCATGAGGCAACTGAAAGTCAAAGAAGAGTAACTATTCCAGAGTGTCCGAACTGGCTGGGGGGCAGGGGGTGGGGGCACTGGGCTGAAAGCAGCACAAGCACAGTGATCCTCAGAAAGGAAGAGAGTGAGGCTTCACTTCACTGACTTCGGATGTGTTAACGGAGGGCCCGGCCCCTGCAGAAGGATACCATACTTGGTACAGGAGCCGCGAAGAGGAGGCAGACGCCCAGTGAGACTGTCTGACACAGAGCTCAGGCACAGCTATGGTTGTGATGATGGTACAGCACCGGGCTGTACTGTGTTCTTTTGTACATAGAGTTGTTATGAATCAGGACTTTATGGCGCCTAACAACAAAATGCACCTGGAAATATGTGTAAGGCCCTTCCCACGACACTAATGACCCGCTGCGCCGGTGCATCCAACAGACCCCAAGAGAAAGAGGAAGTTAGTGATGTGAAAATAGACCACCAAGGATCCTCAATGTGATGGCCCACCTCTTGTGTATTCCCCTCCCTTAAATGTGGCTGGATGTATCAACTCATGTCTAAGAATAAAATAAACGCAGAAGAAATGGGGTTGCAAAAGAACGGAGGCATCAGACTTAGGGAAGATGGCGGTCTCTCTGGGAGGAGCCAGACATCCTGGGAAAGGCCCACATGGCAAATAACTGATGTCATCAGTCAATGGCCACAAGATCCAGCTTGGAAGTAGATCTTTCCACATTGGGCCTTGAGAAGACTGCAGTCCAGTCCATACCATGATTAAAAAGCCTTTGGGAGACCCTGAGTCACAGCACCAAGCTCAGCCACCCCCAGATTCCCTACCCACAGAAACCGAGATTTAAAAAATGTTTGAATCTTTACATTTTGAGGTACTTTGCTTTGTAGCAAAAGACCCCTGGTGGCTCAGTGGGCTAAGCATCAGGCTGCTGACCTCATGGCAGACGGTTCAAACCCATCAGCTGATCCTTGGGAGAACGATGAGGCAGTCTGTTCCTACTGTGTCACTGAGCTGGACCTGACTTGATGGCAGTGGGTCTGGCTTGGGTTTGTAATGCAGCAGAGAAAAACTACTAACCATTACACTCTATTTCTTTCTCACTCTCACTAACTTGAGTTTACAGGGCTGGCAAAATTATTGGCCATGGTTAGGTGTGACTGCGTAAGTTAATTTGGCAGGCAAACAAAACCCAGAGCTCATTCACATCTCCATAGAAATCAATCAAGGATACATCGCAGCAATGGCCCGAGTCAAAACTAAAGCAGCTCGCTTTAAGCTTCATCTGCCCCCCTCCCACTCTCTGAGTGTGTGCATACTGTGGGCTACAGAGCTGCAGGGAGAAAGACCTTGTCATCTACTCTTGCAGAAATGTAGTCTCGAAACCCTCGGGAGCAGTTATTCCAAGGAGCAACTCTGCTCTGTCCTTTAGGGTAGCTGTGGAAGCCAGACCCCAAAACAAATCTCTCCTAAATTTCCGAGTGGCTGGTTCTCCTTGTTCAGGTTTCAAGTGAAATGTCACCTCAGCAGCCCATCCTGGTGTGCCATTCTGACCTGGCCATAACCCTTTCCTACGCTCAATCACATGTCCCTTCTTAATCCATGACTACATTTCCCCGTAAACAAGACATCCCCCGAAAATAAGACGTACTTACAGCTTTGCCTCTCACCGAAATATAAGGGATCCCCCGAAAATAAGACCTCCCTGAACATAAGGCCTCCCCGATAATAAGGCCCCTCGAAGCTACCGTAACTCTGGACTCTGGACTGTAGTAGCAAGCGCTGCTGTGCAGCTCAATGTTGGCCGCAGCACAACCAGAGCAGACAGGAAGTGCAAGTAAATTTACCATAGATTGTTGTAATGGAAATAATGGTATTAACAAGAAATTCTTGGTACTGTAGGTTTGTTTGTCTGGTATGCTGGTTTGTGATGACAACTACTACCGTACCGTATACAGGTAATAAATTTCCTTTTTTGTTGTTCAACAATAAATGTGTACCATATTCTTCTTCATGGAAACGTAAGATATTCCCTAAAAATAAGACCTAGTGCATCTTTGGGAGCCAAAATTAATATAAGGCACTGTCTTATTTTCGGGCAAACAGGGTAGTTACCGTGTCCTTGTTTACTCAGTAATGGTTGTGCTTAATCTCTCCCGCACACAACACTGTCCAGGAACCTTGTTCTGAGGACTACATTGTCTGAGTAATACAGTTTTGGAAAGCAAAAATTTAGGGTCGGAAAAATGACCTGAGGACGTGGAGAGGTCGTTAAGTCCACCAGGCGAAACCAAAGCCAGAGAGAGCTAAAGAAAACAGAGTGTCTTTAAACCAGGGTGTGGGGGTCAGAGAGTTGGCGCGGGACACAAGTGGGTGGATGGAGAGCCCGAGCTCAGATCTCGTGCGAAGGGGCCATGGTTGGAGGACCAGAGCCCCTCCTGAAGAGGCTGAGGGTCAGGCGCTGCCCTTGCCCGCTCCAGGAGCGGAGGAGAGGCGCAGGAAGCCGACTCCGAGAGTACTTTACCCGAGTCTCCCCCGGGCACCGACGGGGGCAGCGTGAGCGTGAACACGGTGGCCACGACGGCGAACACGGCGACGCTGCCCAGGAGGCCCCGGGAGTGCCGCGGCCCCGCCCGGGCTGCCCGCCCCGGAGCCGGGTCCCCGCCGTCTCCATGGAGCCCCATGGGCCGGTGAGGGGCAGGGAACGAGGAGACGGCGGTCCCCGAGGCCGCGGCGCAGCAGGAAGCTCCCCGGCCCAGACGCGAGCACCGTCGGCGGGGGGCCGCGGCGACTTCCGGGCCCAGCGGCGCCGGTCGGGCCGCAGCATCCTCCGCGAGGGCGTGGAGGAGGGAACGAGGCTGCGCAAGAAACAGCCCCGCAAGCTTTCCGGGAGCTCTCAACATGTGGGGGGCTTATCGTTTCAGAGTCTTCTTTAAAGTAACTAACTACGGAAATGGAAAAATCTCTCAAGAAAACGAGGCTGGACACAGGTGTACCAGCTCTATGACGAGTCCCCCTTGAGTACTAACTTGGTATGTTCTGATAGAGAGACGCAGGGCTGGAAACGGAGGGAAGAACGATGTTTACCGCCCTCTGTGGCCTGGGGTGGAACTACACAGAAAGACTGAGCAAGCTAGCCTCCCAGCCTCCAAACCTTTGCCATCTGGTTGACTCCCACTTTAAGTGACCTTGCTCCGCAGGGCTTCCAAGGCTGTAAATCCTTATGGAAGCAAGCCGCCGTGTTTGTCTCCCAAAGAGTAGATGGTGGATCCGCATCCTCCACCTGGGGCTTAGCAGCTGTGTGTGGGTACCCATTATACTACTAGGGCTACCTGCAGTAAACATTTGCCACCATTCGTTTTGTCCAACCTTCAGAAGATACTCTGTAGGATGTGAGCCTTGATGGTGTAGTGGGTAACGAATTGGGCTGCTAACTGCGAGGTCACACGTTTGAAACTGCCAGCCGCCCTATGGGAGAACTATGAGACTTTCTACTCTTGTAAAAAGTTACAGCCTAGGAACTGTACCTCAAGACAGTGTCCCTGTCTCGAAACACAGGATCAGATCTATGTTTTAAATCATGATGAAATTAATTAGATGGATCCATACAAGTAGCAATTCTACATATATATATATATAGATATATATATCCCATTCAGTGGTTTCCTGGAGTAATGCAGACGGTTCACTTGCCAGGATGCTAGCTGAAAGGCTGGGGATTTGAGTCCACCCAGACGCACCTCCAAAATAAGTCCTGGGGATCTATTTTAGAAAAAATTAACCATAGAAAATCCTATGGAGCATACTTCTACGCTGACACACATAGGGTCAACTTGAGAACAGCTCACTGGAGTTCATGGATGGCAGTCTTTGAGGATCAAGAACCCAGCAGCCATGCCAGCCATAATTCTGCCTCTCCTGCTCCTTGATGTGAAATTCCTATGGCTAGAGTCATGCAGCCACTCTCCACATCAAAGTTGGGGGTGCTGTTTCCAAAGGTGTTAGTTTCTTTGTGCTATCTAATCGTGGAATTTGGAGAGGAAAAAGTGCAAAAAGGTGTCAGACTGTATTTTAAGGATTTCCTGAGACGGATATTTCTTCCCCTTTTGAAAATAGTCACACTAATCGTTGGGAGTCCGAAGAAGGCTCACACTGGATCAACAATGCTTCAAAAATGAACAGATAGCTTCACGTTGTTCCTTAGTTCTCAGAAGGGTGTGTTAATTAAGCGTTGTCTTTACAAATAAAATGAGATAGATGATCTAATTCTTCTTCCTGGGTTTTAAGATTGAACAGGCCAAGTAAAGAGAAGCCTTCAAATATGGCAGCCTTGGAGGAGAGAGGCCAGTGGGCAATTCTTTCCTTTGAAGAATGGAGGCGCAAGGAGGTTAGGGAAAGGGAGCCACTTCAGGAAGTCTGAGCTGTAACCAGTCCCAGGGCTTCTGAAACTGACATTATGGTCTTAGAGAATGTCCTAGAGCTGTCCTCTCACGCATCTCTCCACTCAAGGAAATGATGAAGGCCCTGACAGCTGAGTCCTCATCCTGGAAGTGTATTAACAGCAAGTTCACAGTAAGCCGCAGATGTACCGAGAGGACAATGTCTGAGAACAAGTGGGACATCTATCAGGTGTCAGGAGAATGGCAGGCTGGTCAGTTGATGCCACTGCTAGCGCTTTCTTTTTCCCCCACAAGCTCAGTGAGCAGGACTTCCTTTCCTGGAGGAAATACTCTGTGGTGAGTGTTGAATCTGGTTGAGCCATAGGTTAGGGACATGTGAACTCAGTTAACAGGGATTCTGTGGAGTTCGTCCAGAGACAAGTGTTACTGTGACTCAAATACACTGCCTAAGGGACGGATGAGACCCAGATGAACCCCTTCTCCTGTGTACACACGGATGGTTTGGGACACTTGATAGTCTTCCCTTGGGATGACAATGTCTAGGAAGCAAAGGGCACGACATAGAGCATACATGTCTCGAGGATGGAGGGAGGTCAAGAGTACAGAATGGGAGCATGGGGAAGCAGGCAGCACGCAGATGGCAGGAGTCAGGTATGAGTGTGTGAGGTCAGCTTTGTGGCAGATTGGTCATCTCACTGAAGCCCAGGAACATAGGGTACCTAGTCTACTAGGGAACAGGCTAGCAACTCCTTGCAGGAATACACGAGGGCTTTGAAAAGTTCATGGGGAGAAATATTTTATTTTTTCATTCTATTTCCACACACACAATTTCGGACCCCCTGCCACCTTGTATAGGATAATGGTTAAATTCATGGGTTCTGGAATCAGACTTAGGACCCCTGATGGCTGAATGGTTAGGTGTTGGACTGCTAACTACAAGGTCAGCAGTTCAAAACCACCAGTCGCTCCTCAGGAGAAAGACAGGACTTTCTACTCCCATAAAGAATAACAGTCTCAGAAACTCACGGGGCAGTTCTACCCTGTCCTATAGGGTTACCACGGGTTGGCATCAACTCGATGGTAGTGAATTTGTTTTGTTTTGGTTTGGTTGGAATCAGACTGTCAGAGATGTCCTCAAAAGTACTAGCTGAGCAAATAGCTTAACTTCTTTTAAGCTTATTTACCCCAACTTTAAGATGCAAATAAATTTGTGAGAATTAAATAAATGATTTGGATCCTAGTGCCTGAGTGTTCGCTTTTGGGGGAGTTTCCCAGCCAATGTATTGCATGTACGGCCACCATCCATCCGTTCTTTGGAGGGGACTTGCATGCTTCTATGACACTGAACAGGTTTCAGCAGAGCCTCCAGACTAGGATAGACTAGGACGAAAGGCCTGACTATCTACTTCCAAAATCAGCCAATGAGCATCCTATGAATCACAGCGAGCCGGACCACATAGCCAGTCATGGGGAGGTGCAGGACAAACAGCATTTTGTTTTGTTGACCATGGGCTGCCGTGCGGTGAGGGCTCTCTTGAACAGCAGCAAGAGGCTTGGCACAGAGTAAGCACTCCGCAGATGTTTGTTGTTCTTATCGCTCCCTCTTCACAGCACCGCAAACATCTGCTGTGTGCCACCTGCCATGCCCTGGCGAACCCTTACGCGTCAGCAGGCATCATCTCTGCCCTTTCTGAGTCTGTACACTGGACACCAAATCCAGTTGCCCTGGAAGTGGCTCTGGCTCACGGGGCCCCTGTGTGAGTCAGAGCAGAACTCTGCTTCAGGTTTTCAGTGGCTGATTTTCCAGAAGCAAATTGCTAGGTCTCTCTCAGGAGGAGCCTTTGGGTGGACACGAACCTCCCAGCAGCTGAGCGAGTTAACCCTTTGCACCATGCAGGAATACAAAACATAATCTGGCCATTGCCATCCCGTGGAGTGCGGGCTATGGTTGGGAACACCAGAGTGTTATGAGGTCTCACACACACAGCTCTAAGGAAGCCGAGGCCCGCAGCGGAGGGGCCGTGGTAGGGGAGGGCTCCTGGAGAAGGGACTGAGTGATGTGGGTGAAGACCTGGGGTCACACAGGACAGGCAAACAAGCCAGGTCTCCATGCCGTGGGGCTGGAGCACAGGGGGGGCTGGGGAGGACCTCACTGGGGCCATACGATGCAGGGAAGTGTTCCAACTGGACCAGCAGATAGGATCGTTAACTACAAGGGCAACATTGACTTTATCTCCATAAATCAAATGTATTATACTCTGTCTCTCTCCCTGTTTGGCTTTCAGAATATTCACCCTGCCCTTATTTGGAACCCTTGTTAACCTGCCATAACCCCACGATATCTCACTCCTACCCACTGCTGATTAGAAACAAGGGTGTCGTTTTGAGGACTAAGGTGCGCCTGACCCATTGAGTGATTCTGACTCATATCAACCCCATAGGACAGAGGAGAACTACCCTTTTGGGTTTCTGAGCCTGCATAGCTTTACAGATCAGAAAGCCTCATTTCCCCTGTTGAAGGCTGGTGGGTTTGAACTGCTAACCTTGAAGTTAGCAGTCTGTCACCTAACCCACTGTAACACCACTCACTCACTTACTCAGTGCCATTGAGTCGATTCTGACTCATAGATACCCTATCGGGGTTTCTGAGACCAGCTCTTTATGGAAATGGAAAGCCTCGTCTTTCTCCTGAGGAGCAGCTGATGGTTTCAAACTGCTGACCTTTTGGTTAGCAGCCGAACATGTTAGCACTACTTCACACAAGCCGTGGAGACATCACACCCACTACCACTGAGCTGATTGTGATGCACGGCGATCCTAGGGCACCGCAGACCTGCTCTCTGGGGATTCCAACCGGAAGCCGACTGCCGTCTTACTTCCTTCCACAGAGCACCTGGTGAGCTCAAACTGCCAGCTTCTGGGTGCACAGCTGAGTGCTTAACCACTGAGCCACCAGCCCTCCTTGGAGACGTACACAGACAGTGACATTCAGGGCAGAGCCCTCTCTGCCACTACTCTGTTCAAGTTCACATTGATAGCAAGTGCCACAAATACCAGTCCTAACTGTGAGTCCATGGGGTTTCCCCCACTTGAAGAACAGCTCTGTGTCTAGTCCCCACCCAGCACCCTTTTCCTACCCTAGCACCCTCCATCAACCCTTCAATGGCCGTGTCTGCAAGTGAGCCTGGGGCTCCCCTCACTTCAGAGTTTCATTAACCTAGTCTCTTATTTCTGGAAATCTTTCTCGTGTCTCTAGGTATTGCTACTCTGCCTCCTCATACCCC